GATGTAACTCCACTGGGAATTAAAGCCTCGGACGACTTCAGCTCAAAGCATCGTTGCTCCCCGTTCTCAGTTCAGTGTGCCCTAAAGGAATCCCAAACCAGCACATATGGTTGCTTTAAAAGAGCATCGCTTCGTTTTTCCCAAACTGTATTAATACAGCCTAAAGTGCCACTCTCGTCCATCCATCCTTTTGCGTGATCCCGCACAAACACGCCGCTTGGGAACTTCAATCCTATGCTTAAAACTAATGAAAGGTGACAAACCTGAGCCACCTGCTATACACCCCAAGGCAACTGTGAACCGTGTCTTTTCGTGTCTCGTTGTCTTTACAAAAACCGTGTTAACGTCTTTATGCTCCACTCTGCGATTTAAAGGCATATCAAACCACACGGGCGTCTCGTCTATATTTCCAATTCGCGACAGTTCAAAACCTCTCTCACCTCTCTTTTTCAAAATGCTCTCTTAGCTGAATCAAGAACCTTTGAAAAGATTCCACTTCAATATCTAATCCCTTCGGCAGTTTCTGGGCTAGTTTTCTGCGGATCCGTAGTCACAACTCGAATCGGTCCATAAAACAATTGTACCATCCCGAGGAAGCAACAAAATTCACTGGTTTTGATGGTTGGAATACAGGATTTTTTTCAACATTGTGAGCGCTCTGATACGAATGTTCGTTCGGGTAACAATTAACCCGCTATGCCGTGACTCTATACTCCACTGCGCTTAGCTTTCCTCCAGTGCAGGTAACGTGATTTTTTTTAACCCACGTGTTGCTCTCTTGACTACAGGCATTAGTGACAATTCTGACTTTTCCTCGCGCCATTATCTCACTTGCTTTTCATTCACGGTGAAAGGATGTACAGCCGTACAATTGGTAGATTGCTCGACAAACGCGATAACTTTCAATTTAAATCCAGCAACATATGCACATCGCTTCTGTTGAGACATTTGTTCACGTTTCCGTGACTTTGGATGATCACACGAAATGCAGGCACATTCCCTCTCAGCTGGATCAAATGACGTCGTTGGGTAGCGAATCAAAACGCTTATGCATTGTACTATGCTAGGCGATCCGGTGCCTTAAAAATACAACCGTGTCCCACACCACTGACCATGAACTTCACTCTCACTCACCGCATGAGGCCCCCCACTATGAGAGGCGGAACGTCTGCCATACCCTTTCACCTTACCCCATATTGTTGGCTGTCTTACCTGTTTCACGTGACTTCACATGCAATTAATAAGCTGTCGAGCGCGGTGAGTCTTTGTTCTGATGGCTCTACGCTCCATCGACCGCGTTCATAAAACATTACTGTCACCACAACCGACCAGTAGTAGAGCAGTTTTCACACGAACACACTCAATTGTGAGCAGGTGGTGATGAAGTAAAAATCGGGGAGAAACAATTTCATTTCCATTTTTGTTTGTTTTTTTGGGATCGGCCAATGTAAGGACCTACGGTTTTGTACAAATTTGATGCTGCGTAGTTATATTGTAGACTTATCGATGTACGGGCTTATATTCGGTAATATGCGGCAATTTTGTTTGGCGAAAGATTGATGTCCCAATCCTCCTAGTTATGTGTACCCACGAAAATTGCCATTTTAAGCGCTTGTGGATAATCACCCCGAGGTTGAAAACCTCTGGTCTAACTGTATGTAGCTCGTTTGGGGAAGGCAATTAGGAAAGCAAGCTGCGCGTCAACTTACGGATCGAGAAACGGTGGATAACGGTGAAGATAGCTCATTCCGTCTGAATGAAGACGCAGGTGACAGACGCGGAGCTCTTCATCGCAAGCACAACGGAAGTGTTAAAGCTCAACTGACACTGCGACAGCTTCAAGCTTATGGAAAAGCACGGTGTAAGGGAGGGAGCAATAAAAGGCGTGGCTCCAACGAAAACGCGTGTCGTAGTCCGTTCAGCTTGAAACTCAAGGCGCATGCTTCAGTTGAATTGGATAAGTAAGTCATGGCAGTTAACTGATAGTGAAAAGGTAATGCGCAACCCAGTACTTGGGCAGCTATATTAGCGCCCGTGGGATCGAAGATGAGGTTATGAACCGTTTAGCAAACGTTCGAGGTACTTTTGCTAATCTCCGTCATCTTTGGCGTAGACGCGACATTACTCTCGCATTGAAGGGAAGAGTTTATAACGCAGCCGTCCGTTCAACCCTCCTATATGGTTGTGAAATGTGGCCCATCAGACCGACAGACATAAAGAGGCTAGTCACATTCGATCACCGCTGCCTTCGCAGCTTAACGCATGTCTGGTGGGAGCATCGCGTGAGCAATGGGTGTGTTCGGCGTCGCGTATTTGGTGCAGGAAGAGCGAGTGAGCCGCTCAGCACCATATATCACGCGCCAGGCTCCGATAGCTGGGCCACGTGCTGCGCACGCCAGCACACCGACTCTCACGACGTGCATTGTTTGTGCGCCGAAAGGTGCGGTTGGAAGAGGAGGGGAGGCCAAGCGATGAGTTGGTCGAGAGAAATGAAAACCCTCACTCCGAAACTGGCGTCTGTTGGTGCATCCCGACTGCTCGGCTGGAATGCAAAAGAAGATGAACACGTTAGGTTAGACACACTTGCTGTTATGGCGAAGAGCCAGCCCCAATGACGTTTGTGTTGTGAGTTTCTTTGTCCACCCCCCTCCAATCCAGATCCCACACAATACGCATAATATAATATTTAACATCATAGTTTTTGTAGTGTAATTTCCTAGTCTTACTTTTGTATTGCTGCACAATAGCTGAGGTGTGTTTCATACCCTCAGCTAACCTGTACTGATGATGATGATGCGCAACCCAGCTCTTCTGTGATCAGCAAAGTGGAGCAAACGAGTAAAGGATAGCATTGGCTGATTACCAGGTGGTGAGATCTCAATGGTTGGACCTCCGTTGACATTTTATTAATCCGCTTTTCTCCGCAAATCAGCAACCACTCCAATAGGTATGTGTGCAAAACGCTGCTCATATCCGGGGGACCAGCGAGTAAGGTTAGGCGTCGCGTGTCAGCACCTAGACACAGATTCACAAGGTTTGTATCATGAAGTCGAACACCAATGTCACGGCGATGCTGGTCGGCCCGTGTGGTGCACCTTGTTAACCCTCGCGAACTAAATATACAGTGAGCAGGAAAACTGTAGTCGAACGATGAAGCGTTAACGAGGTTATCTAGTCCGCTGATGATATTAGAGCACTAAAAAATTAACAAGAAAACTGGGCAACGCAGTGCGCGTCGTTTCGCTGAGTTGGTGTTGTGAAACTGTCCACGCGAGATAGCGGAGAATTGCGTATACCGTCTCCGGGTAAAAAATTGAAGTAGGACCAATCACGATCACTTTCAACCACATAATGGTGAAAGATAACGACGGTGAAATGAGGAAAAATGTAAACAGTGAGAACGGAAAAAAGTGCTCAAGTCGAGTGAAAAGGCGAACAGACTGATGCAAGAAACCGAATGAAAAGGCGCCTATGAGTGTGAGACCACAGACAAGAACTTAGTCAACAACTTGATTGATCCTGAGGATCTTATGCAAGTGCTAAGTGCTATCTCAGCAAAGGTACTCAAACCAACCGTCTTTTGACCACCGCTAATCAAACGCAGCAAAGAAAAGCAATACGACTCGAAGGAAGTTAGGAGGCATGTAGAAAAAAACTGTATCGGTCAAAGTAGGTGGTTCAACTTTAACGGGTGGAGTGTTTCTGCAGTAAAAAGACTATGCAACACACAAACAGAGATCACATGAATATATGGTCAAAGTCGGTTGCTCTCCTTATACCATGAACATGAAGTGACCGAGGCTTCGAACCATAGTGTGTAATATCAAGAGCACTGAAGCATCAGACAACAGAGGCCTACGGTTATGAAGAGCTGGATAAGTTCCGACTAGGCCCCGACCGCATATTTCCTGAGGTTACAAAGTGTTTTGTCGCCACTGGCGCATTCAGCCCAATACCGCAAAAATATGTCCAAAAAGAAGCCGGAAAAGAGACTTGTATACATGAAATCACAATCGTTTATATAGTTTTGAAGCCAAAATGAAGGGAAGCTACTAGATTGCACTTGAGCCAACCAACAGAAGCAAAACGTCAAATGCAACGACGAATAAGCGACCGCGTACTCAAGAGCGAATCGCATATATCCTTAAAAGTAGTATCATGGGACCCCAAGCGTAAAGCGAACATCGATTTACAGTGACAGGCACCGACAACTCAGAATAACGAAATGTAGCGTTTAAACAAAGGTCACGAAATAAACGAGAATAAAAAGTGCAGACCCAGAAATTAAAAACTAGTACAATAATCTTGTGACAATTAAAGATTTCTTTAACATAACCAAGTAGAAAAGTGATGTGGAGAAAAACCAACGGAATGTGTTCTTACAAATGGCACTGCTGGAGATGACACAGAGATGAGCGTCCATTAACAATGACGTGTGTGTACCAACCGGGCTAACACAGTGGAGCGTTTAAACAACAGTCACGAAGTGGAAAATGGGAAGAAGGAAGAATGGCTATTAAGCTCGTTCACAAAATATAAATGTCAAACAGCTACTCTCCTAACACTAAGTTATTAGTTTAGTACAATTCAATGGAAGCTAGATTCACCGGGCATAACCAAATAGTATCCAAAATGCAATGGTGGCCAACATCGTGAACACTCGGCATCTCTGATCGAAGACTTCAACCCGTGGATGTCATCAGTGTGACTCACAATGATGCTAGGAGATGGCAGCTGACTGTGCATGCGAGATCCCCGGAAATACGTCGCACAATTAGGTGCAGGGATGGTGATGAGTGGTAGAGGATAATCGGATGATAAGCCAGTCGCTTCCTTGCGTTGTGAGTTTTACGTACACGGGGTTGATTGTTGAGTACCCCGAAACGGTTTACTCTCAGAAACCAACAACTCCGTGACCATTAGATGGACATTAAGCGGAGCAGAAAATGTTGGAATAGATAGATACGCTTGTTAGATCAGAAAGATATTGTGGCACTTACTGAGGAAGACTGTGAAAGCCAGCTGCTCACATTCTGTTGTAGTAACATCCGCAAAGCGCAATTCTTTTGTTCTGCGTTCTCAATTACGACGTCCTAAGTGAAGACCAAAGGAACAAACACATTGTACAATGAATGGGCAGCAATGACGCCAAGCAAAGTAGAGAATGTGCGAAAGATGGGGTGCCCATGGCGGATGGATTAGGTATCAAAAGGAGTCAGGGCAAACGCAATAGAATAATGAAACATGCGAAGAAAAACGGAATAAGGAAGAGAAAACTAGATAACAGATTTTGTAAAATGCAACCACACAAAAATAGTCCATAAGCACCAGTTTAAATTGACAGATGAGGGTGAAAGACAAATGGTCGATGAAGAAAAATGCAAATGCATAAAGAGTGAGATCGCCAGCCCCGAAAAGCGCAAAGTATTTACATTACGGTTACTACTGCATGACTAAAAGTCAAGTACCCAGAAAACATGAACTATTAGATACACCAGAAGAAACGACCGATTCAAGCAAAAATAACAAAACCTCCATGACAGATAAAAGCAAGAAATGAGAGTGTCACCTAAACATTCTACCCTCAGCTATTTAGGACAAATAATAGCAAACAGCGCTAAGTGGGCTATCTGATCTGATGAAATAATCGTTGCTACTGACCGGTGTGATCAAAGGGAGTGAAACTTACATCAGCAACTTGTTGAGCGTTTATCTTAGCCAAATGGTTCGAAACAAACTCGTCCCAAGCGGACAGGGAGGTAGGACTGAGAGCTAGTAAACAGAACGGGGAAGGGATTGTGAGGTAACGATGCTGGCGAGTGAACGTCAGCGCTGAGCAGGTGCACAACTGTGTTTTGGATAGGGTTTAGCGAAATTGCAGTTGATGGAATAAAGTGCTGTTAGCGCTAGTGCTAATGTGCTGACGAAAACTTCACATGCAACTAGTTTATAAAGATATGACGAGGAATGGGTTTTGTTGAAACAAGTGATTGAAAATGGGAACAGGTTGGATAGGATGCGTTCCTCTTAAAAACTTCGTCTCACATGAGACCCGATGACAAAACTACAAACACCGCAATGATACAAAATAAACGAGGAAGCCAACTTGCGTCCCTACGACAGCAATGCCGCAGAGAAAGAACCAGCAAAGCATCTAACTCTTGGTCATGGGCAAAGACATCAAACCATGTATTAGTGGCTGCCATCTCCGACACAGAATGTACTGAAGGTGCGTCCCAACGGCAGATACGGTTTCCAAGTCACACTCACCGATGAAGGTAATGACAGTTGTTGGTCATATATCTCAGTGACACTTAGTTTCACGGCCAAAGCAACTATTCGGCCATGTTGTTAGTGAAGGCATGTTCGATCCCTTTTGGGCCGGAGAAAGAACTGCGTTCGAGTGATGAGTCCCATGCGCCTGAGGCTACCACTATCGATTATTGGAGCACAAACTGGTATTCCTCATGCAAGAGCTCTTCTCAAAGGCAAGTGTAAAGTGACCGGACCTCACAATCGAAGCAATGCACTATGTCTTGTGTTACCGATAGGCCGGTATGCAGGACAACATGGGGTTTGAAAACAGTGCATTGAATGTGAGCATGAAGACAGTGTAGACAGCAAGTAAAAAAGCTCAGATAAGTGAGAAGACCCAAAACAAAGAAATGTTCTAATGAGTAAAGGTTAAAGTCAAGAACAGGATAGGTCGAAGACGAGGGTGGGTTGCATGCGTTCCCTTGACCGCACAGTGTTAACGGGGATCAGAGATCAAACACTATACAAAATGGGCGGTAGGCAAATGTGATGAGAATGCCTAATATATAAACCATCAACTTACTCCGAAAAACTTTGAGAACAAAATCGCGTCGCGGCCCAATACGGGCATCTTCTATTGAGTTGGCTAACCGCCACAGGTGGCCGGTGTAACCGGGCTTTGGGGTTTGTTTATCCGCGGGATTAAATGCAGGATTGGAGGACCTGAGACGATGCGAATGAATAAGTTAGTGATGACCCACGTTTGTGGCCGAGGTAGGTGCAAATTAATAGTTAACCATATAGGTGTTAAGTGTTGCCCGCTCATGATAATACACTCGACAATAGTTTTCATGTTCGTTTGCCCTGTCAAGTGGGCATAACAAAAATGCGACTAGAACTCGGGACCTTAGGCATATCAGCCGAAGCCCCTACTCTCAAGCCACGAAATCGCGGCAGGTAACCCTCGTTGTAATGGAAGCTACGTTGAAGCATTCGGTGTGTTGAGATCGCGGATCGCAAACCATGCACACCAGTGACTCAAAATGACCCTTTTAATGAATAATAATGGCCAGTTTTGCGCTAGCGTGGATGGGACCGTACATGTATCACCATATCTTCAGATGGCGCAAATGAGCGGCATGAATGACGACCGGTCAAGTGAAAAATTAACTGGATGATCAAAACGGTGGTGCTGAATTGTATGCAAGCAGAGTGAACGATCCCTAGTTCTTCCAAAACGAGTTAAGGATGAAGAAGATGCAGGGGGCCGATCTAACCCCAAAGAGGAAACAGGCAAGTTGTAATGCTCCCCAAATATTTTTTCAACCGATGGATATGTATAGCACAAATGATATCCGCAACATTAGGGAACAGAATGACCCTGAAGGAGTCCAGTGCAGTCAAAAGGTGCGCAGCACACGTGCATTCATGGTTTTTGGATGCTGCCAGGTGAGTCAGAAGTGAAACCGTCGGGAGCTCGATCAACTCAGGTCCATCACTCTGCCGGCCCGTGACGGAAAGGATCATAAGCCGGCCTTGTAACCCGGAGGTTGCGGGCGACCCTTGCAGTACCCATTGCCCAAGCGCGACTGGTGGTTTTTATGTGGCAGCGAAGCGATCTCACTGCGTATCGGCTCGCTGCTGATGCCGTTTTTCCTTTTTGCCACTCTAGTGTATAGTGGAAGCCGTGTGTGCAGACTGGAGGGTTGTAAGTGCAGTTAAGCCCGTCCCGTTGCATAAGCTAGTGGCCTGTGGCTATTCGATACTCGGAAAATTTGGGCGATCATGACCTGAAGTGAAGTATACCCAAGTTGCTATCACTCCCACTACCATAATAATAGGGATAATAGTAATATAAAAGCAAACGTTAGTAGCTCAGGTTGTTCAGTTGGTGGGCTGAGTGTTCGCTGAGCTCGGCATTTTGGCTTCAAACATTTCGTCACCACCCGAGGTGACATCGTCAGTGCGCGTTTATGTAGCAAAGCGGCGTGGTACGAAGCATCAGTGAGCGTGAGTGATCGATCTACTAGCCGTCAGTCTGAGTTTGGATCATTCGACAGGCACATGACCATCGAAATCGATCTCTCATTCTTGTCTCGCAGCGTACACGCGCGTGCCTCTTTGGTTGTCGTCGTCGTTTGACGCATTTGTCCGGTGTTCTGTTCCGTAAGATTTAGTCCACTAATTCGGTGATCTTTCATCCGTAGCGCTGTATATATAGCATCTAGTCTAACGCGTCGGTTTATGAACTGTCTGTAGAACACCATGCTTCCAAGAACTCGCTAACTTGCCTCGAAGTTCCATGGGCTAGGATCTTTACGTTCCCTAGGTCGAAGTGGTGGCCTTCTTGGTCTTCATGCATGGAAACCAGTGAATGCGGGTCCTGTCTCCGTATAGCCATTATGTGTTCGTTGATCCATGTTGAAAGGCTGGACAAATGCATCAAACGACGACGACAACCGAAGAGGCACGCGGTAGTACGCTACAAGGCAAGAATCAGAGATCGATTTCGATGGTCATGTGCCCGTCGAAGGATCCAACCTCAGACTGACGGCTAGAAGATCGATTACTCATACTCACTGATGCTTCGTACCGCGCCGCTTTGCTACATAAACGCGATGTCACCTCGAATGGTGACGAAACATTTGCAGCCAAACTGTCGAGCTCAGCGAACACTCAGAGCACCACCAATAATAATAATTCCAATAACAAACAAAGAATAAAAGACGAAGCGATGAGCTAAAAAGGGGCGAAAAAAGCAGGTAAAATTAATTGGTGGGGAGGCTTAGCAGCGAGATACAAAGGGATCGAACGAAACAGCGTCACTGATTAAGCGGCTGAGCCTTGTCCGATAAGGCCTCAAGCTGCTGCAGAGGCAGATCTCGAAGCCACTATCCAATAAGAGGTGAATCCAGAGGACGTCGCCAACTAAAAGCACACTAACAATATGATCCTGTGGGAAACGTTGTTGCAACATCGCCATGAGCAAACAGGTTACGTATAGAGGCAAGACAAAAAACAGATTTAAATCGGAGAATTTTGAAAATGATAGGGCAATACAAAAGACCCAACCCAATGTAGTCTAGGTATACCAGCCACCAGAAAAATCCATATGTCCATAGAGATTCGAGAATAAATTGGTGACAAGTGAATTGGTAAGATGTGGTCATGACTCCAAAAGAAGCCAGTAATAAGGATAGCAGGTCAGAAAACGCTTCGGCAATGCGTAGGAGAAAACAAAACCAAACTCATTTATGCGAGCAATGGAAAGAAAAAAAAGCTAAAGATCACTTTCTTTCTAGGGGTACTCATCGACAGTGGGCATTTAAACGGTAACAATCCGTCAGTGGACAAACAACGTCCTGGAAAAGTTACGTATAGACTTGATTCGCCCATAGCTCTTATTGTGTGTAGGCGCATTATGAAAGAAACGACGCAGAGAAAGTGAACTGTGTCCAAGGTAAGGTACGTGAGATGCATTCGGTATCGAAAACCCGTCGAGATGACTCCCAATGCTAGTAGGGAAAAGCAAACGACAAGAAGCGCTCCACATGTTTCTCTTCAAACTTTTGTGATAGCATCCTCATGGGTGAATTTGCTAAAGAGTTAATTGCGATGATTGGTGAAGACAAGTGCAGTCAATGATCCATCATCGTTGTAATAACAAAATTTGGACGAGATGGCAACAGTATCGAAAAGACAACTACGTAAAAAGGTTTGGTAAAATAAATGGGCTGTACTGATGATCAGGTGGGGTCAACCCTATAGACGTAAGTGTCATGACAAACAATGCACTGAGGTGTTATAGTTTTCAGAAGGCGGAAAAAGCAGTGTACCTTGTGTAATCATCTCATCCGGATGTCCAAGAACCAAGACAAACATTGGTAATACACAGACACCAAATATGGTCGACATCATTCATGTATCGAATGTACCTATGCTTCATATCTGTGATGGGATAATGAGTAGCATTTTGATGACAAATGTGGTGTTGGGTCGAACCCAAGTTGGAAGTGTGAAACAACAAGCAAAAAGAGACATCAATCGATCGATTTAACTAATGAGACCTTTCAGGAGCGCGCAATTCATCAACGTCCGATGAAGACGTTGGTTCGTTGTTGATCGGTGATCAATGCCAATCATAAGTGGACTTTGGAAGTGACGATTTGATGACCGGGTTTTGATGAATAGTGTAGAAGTCTAGCTAGTGAGTCTCCTTCATTACGGCAAGCCAGTTTTTGTAGGATTGGTTCTGTTGCTTGTTCAAGTATTGAGAGAAAGGAAAATCCTTGATTATTTTGTGTTGGATTAGTGAGTAGGCAGTATACAACGAAGCCCCGAATGATAAGCAGTAGGATGTAGAGGAAAAAGTTATTGAAATAGTCATACACTTTCATTACGGGGAAGCTGATGTTACACCTGAATGTGAACTGACTTATTCCCACCGGACCGACACTACATCAAGCCTTGCAAGAGTGGATCGATAAAACGAGAGCGTAGTTAACAAGACCTGATATGCTGGGAGACAGCGACCAAAGGACCACTTCACAAATAAATTTAAAGGGAAAAGTAACAATCGTGCCAAGAGGGTTGCGTTGATAGCTTACTCAGTCGCTGAGTCAAACGAGTTTACAGAATTGTGGATCAGGGGGAAAAGGTGCAGAGTAACGACGCAACTGAGACACAGAGGTGAAGTTCGCACCCACCATTTAGAGAGACGGGTCAAAAGAGCGAATTGGTCTGGGGATCTAGGATAGCAGTAGACAGCAATATGGAGAGTCGAGAACACGCGAACAAATTTGAGACGAAGACAGAGCTCGTTTTCATTATAAGCTAAGCAAAAGTTAGAACTAAGGTTTAGCACTAGAAGATGTGTCGACCGGTAGGTAACCAGAGCGAAATCTGTAACAATTGCTACGCAAAGGAAGGTGGTGGGAAATGGGCAAACGATGCCGTGGGCACCTTTACACAAGGCAAGCAGTCATTAAAATAGTGCACTACGGAGACACCCGGTGGCGTCAGACCGAGGCTATGTGTGGGTAAACTTGAGTACAACCGTGTTTAACTATAGAGTATCATTGCAGCGAGAAAGTTGTGGAAGCCTAATTGTGCGTCTTGGGCTACCCCAAACTGAAGGTGAATGCGAAAGTTCCCAGTTGGCTACTGAACACATGAATCAAACGATCGATAGGATAATAAGAGATACCACAAGCCACGGCACTTTCAGCGCACCTCATGCTTTTGGGTCTCTTCGCAAACAAAATGGGCAGGTCGAACTGAGGCCAATTAATCCAAAAAAGAAAGCATATCAGCACCTCAGTACACTGAAACCCATGAAGGAGCGGAGAATAGAAACAAGAGCGTAGATATTGTGAAGAAAAGATAGGACCGTTGAATTAAGAGATGTCATATGGATCTGGAGCTTGAGACATTTCCTGATGCCCAAACCGCTTCCGGTGAGCAGTGTCTCAATCGCGAGATATATGATGTAGGTAGTGTGAAAAATAACACATGCGCCTAGACAAGTACGAAAGATGGAGGCGATTACAGCTACTACGGTGGAAGCAATAACAGTGGCAATATTCCGAAACCAATAGCCGCGAGGTTTTCAAAAAGCAACTGGGGAAGTTGCAGGCGCAAAGTATATTTTGGTGTCTTAGCGCGGAACGGAATTTTCGGATGTGAGAAGAACAGACAGACCTTCGAAATACAGTACAGATCGTGCTTTCAGACTGCAGCGATTTCAACAGATGTGTCACACTTAAAGTAGGATAATCACAGCCGTATTGCTCGAACAGAAAGGCGCGTTCGACTCAATCAATCGTCCGGTTCCCACATGGAGTTTAAGCATCCGCAACGATGAAATGCACAGGCATGTGTTGAGAAGTAGTACTCAGTCCAATTCTACGTACAAACGAACAAATCGAAACTAACTGCTGATTTAACAGAGTACAAAGTATGCTTATCCACTGGGAAGAAGTTTGGCTTTGGTGCATGATCTGTGAGAGGTAACCGTGGAGAGAAATGAAGGCATTGACCACTTGGTGGGTGCGGCTTACTTGTGGTGTTTTCCGTATCGCAATTCATGAGACTCACACCAGCGCCTGGCCCAAGACACTACAGGGCATAGCTCGCAGCCGGCACAAGTGACTTGCCTGCAGCCGCCTGCTAAGCGAATTGCTTCTCTTCGTCGAGTATGTCACTGAGTTAGGTATGGAGCGACGTTGACTAAGAAGCACCAATAAATTTGGGTCGCGGATATCACATCGCTGTCACACGGCACAATGCTTTTGATGACCGATGAAGGAGAAGGCGCATTAGATGCGGGGCTTGTTTAATACGTCCAGACCAAACAATACGTTCTACTTCCATACACCCGCGCATCTTTTATCATTACGGTGTTTAATGTTGACCTATGATTTCACAGTAACTTGCATCAGTAAGTGATGATGTTGATGAGGTTAGAGGTCGCTTCTCGAACGATAGTGGGTAAAAACAAATCGAAACAGGAAAAAACATTTCAATTTGTGATGGGGGTTTTCGAGACTCACGGGTCAATGGAGGCTCTAGAAAGTCGCAAGCACCAGTCTGTGATGCCGTAATCCTTTACAATCGTAACAAACGCATGGTCCATGCAACGACTTTCATCGGTTGCCTGCACGTCGACATCCATCCGATTGTCATCAGACGTAGAGTTGGTCGATTTCGCCTCTGAACTGGTTTGAGAGGGTTGTTCTGATGGTGATTCCTGTTGGCGTTCTTTCTTTCCACTGTGTTTCGACGAAATCACCCGGGCATGATAAAACAAAGTCAGCACCAACTCAGTGACCGCTTGATGAAGGAGTGTGTTGAACGGATAATGCTCGAACAAGTCCTAGTGAAAGTAAAGGGCAGAAACGGTAATGTTAGTATACGACAGGTTTGCGCATGAAACTGAAGGTGTCGGAAAACAAGACAACACAGCGCTGTCTGCCAAGAACAAGTGTTGTCAATTGCAGTAGGATGAAATGTGTGCAAAAAGAGCCACCCATCCCAGCAGGAAGGTACGCGAAGGCGCTGAATCCAAGACACTGACCGTCAAGCAATAGGAACATTGGCACAATGGATGTCGTTAAGAAAACGAGAAACGAGGAGCAAAACGCTCCCTGTATACAACCCCGGTAGCTAGAAATAGTGAGGGGAGACCGAGACAAAAATAGAGTGATACATCATACTGCTCGAGTCTGCACACATAGATTTGAAACAGAAAGTAGGAAGGGGTTGAAGGCAACGAAGTAAGCTTGAGTGCTGCAGCCTACTCGATGCCGTAACAATGTACACAACCACACAATTTGCACACTCTGTGGTAAACATGGTGCGCGCGTTTCGATGAACCTCGACAGCACCGGTGCCGCGTAATCCAGTGCAATTGGAGAATGTGCAGAGGGCACTTTAGGAGGTGAAACTTGTTGTGAATCCCGCAGGTTTCGGGCACTACCCAGCACTAGGTCATAAAGTGCCGATAACCTCTTCCGGTAGAGAATAACGCACTCGAAAAAGGAATGGTTAGGAGCAACATTCAAGTCCAGATGAGACGATTCGGGCGAGTAGCAAGGGGGCGAGTTTCCTGTTGGCGGTTCGACACTTGTCCATCCTATGTCATTGTTTCCCATAAAACGACTGTCAACGGAAGCTTTGTTCAAAATATCCAGATTCAAAACACCGACCCGTTGAGTCCGCATGGCATCCGGTGAGGTGAACTTCGAGAATCTCTACTGACCAAATTGCATGGATGAAATGAACATCTCACTAGTGACCTGTAGCTCAAAGACAAACTGGTGGTAATATAGGATCATTTCCCCAAGTCCCTAATACAACAACAGACGTGAATCGCTGCAATACATCATAGAGCGCACCGTGAGCTAGAACACTAGGTTGTGGTTAGGCTAGAGTTTGATAACAATGGTTTCGAGAGATTATCCGAGATAGAACACATTAGTTACATAATGAGGGGACAATATTGTCTGATATCACAAAATTAAAGCCGAGTAGGGCTTTGACACTGAGCATTTGATTGACAATCCATTGTCGTGAATCACAAGCCCTACAGTTTCATGGCTTTATCTCATAGTATGATGTTCAAAGAGCCAAAACGCTCTACCCAGAGTGCATACATCGGTGAGTGTCTAGGTGACTAAGTATTACCATGGCAAACTCACTGTGCGATACGCCAATACTAAATGCTTGAAGAACAAGCTTCACAAAGCAACAAAAAGCATAATAAATACTCTGCGAATATCGCCATAAATGGAATGTGTAAAGGTGACCCGAAAGCGAATGTGTTAACTTGACGTACAGTCCCTCCTCGTCAAAATTCCGTTGGACGGAACTGCGAACCAGCTCTGTGAGGTTAGCTCAAAACACAATGTTCGACTGGAGCTTCTCGACGAGTTGATGAAACCTATGCTTTTATGTAAACAAAATGTGGCGATGATCATCCCACTAGGCTCACTGTTGGTAAATGCATTCAAAGAATCGGATGAGGACAATGCGCGTGTAGCCAAAGACAACAACACCGTATTGTAATGTGTGGCATTAAGCACGGTAATTGCCTCTCGTACATACTCGTCACACGGTGAGCGGATGATTCGAGCAAACATCAGAAAATAAAAAAGCAGTCCGGACAAACCAGCAGGTAGATCTTAAGAGTCGCACCCCGACAGCCTCTCGTATGGACACCGTTTTACCGAGTCCACATGAGTTGCACCTCAGATACTTTGTGGTGAGAAATCTGCTGTTCAATATACTACAAGTCAACGGTTATTTGTTGCAAGTTATAACACCAGCGACATTACAAAACGAGATAAAACACCGATAATCCAAAAGAAGCCGAGCTGTATACAGGTGTCTTTCAAAAAGATAATCGCATTATGAAAGTCTCCATTTCGCGGATCCTTTAAAAACGTGTTCGCGTCGACGAGATACCAGCTCATATGTGCTCAAGTAAGAAACCAAAGATGATTCAATATGTATGTCCTACTGTTTATGCAAGTTCGTCTGCAGCTGTGCAGACAGTTGTATTGGTCGCGTTGACGGAACTCCAGGCGTCGGAATCGACGAACACTTCCTACTGTGGTCACAGAGATAGTTTGGACCCCGATGAAATTATCTAGAGGATCGAGAAGCCGATATTAGGGTATTCAAGACATTTGCTGAATACCGGTTACCAAGTAAATCTCGATGAGCCATTCATCAGCCTCATAGGCAATCAAAATCTGGAATCTATTGTTAACGATCAAAGGCAGCCGTCGCCCTAAGTGTGGACGCAGTAGACAATGGCTGAGCATACTGCGGTGGTGTGAAGTGGACCAAATTAGCCACCGATTTATCGCACAATAGCATGTTATTTCGAATGTCGCTGGTTGTGTGGAAGCCAGTGAGAATGCACGAAATGTAGGAGTCAACTCGTAACTCACGTACTCTTGCGGTGAGTATTACGTGTGGGAACGAGGAGGCGCAAGGAAATCTCCACGGACGAAGGAGGTGTCGTACACAAATAAGCCGGAAGAAGGATGCGTAGTGAAGAAATCCACCTCCATCGATACGTTGTGAATGAAGGAGTGCAGCATAATGGCGAGTCGGAAGGGTACCACGAGGGAAGTGAGCAAATGGGACTTGAGTTTACATGTTCGAATTGTTTTAATATCCAGACGTTGGTTATCTAATGCATAACTCGCTTTCACCGCGTCGCCTTCACAAAGGATATGTCAACTTTTAAGAAAAAGTGCTCATGAGAGAAACAGGGACCATAGGCGTACCATTAATGTTTTAACGATGCCCTCTTTGATCAGCCCTTGTGCGAGGCCGGTCTCTGGTGGAAGGGATACCAAAAGAGTCAGGAACTGCGCCAACATGAAGCGAAGTGTCCCGAGAGGTGGGTCCAGTGTCCCAAATGTTGTGCACATGCGATTACAAGCTTGCTGTGAATGGAACAAAGAGAAACACATATGGCGAAAGTTTGAGTGTAAAAATGCTGGAGACAGTACAAAATGTCTAGTTGAGCTCAGGACCTGATAGGGTAAGAAAATTGCCACGCACTTGAAAAGAAAGCAACTAACCAGAAAGACATAAATCAGAAGAATGAAGTGAACAAGAGCGCAATCGAAAACGCAATAAGGCAACGTTAGCGGACAATGAATGTGTAGAAGTCTGAATGAATCGTCACTAGTGTTATGCGATACAGAGAAGATTGCGGAAAAGGTCCAGATTTTTCACAGATAACCCTCCTTGAAGCAGACAATGCGAAGAATTAGCGTATAAGTTATGAAGCCCTTGCTTGTTTAAAGAATGAAATTTTGTGGAAGTGAGAAACGAAGCTTAAGTGTGACTACGTGTGGCGACCAGAATAGCACACCACACCAAAGTTGTCAGGAGATTGGAGGTTGTATGCACCGGAAAAAAGAGGTTTTGAGTAGGGTCCTAATAATCGTGAGAATACCTGTAACATTCATAAAAAATGGCGAAAAACGTCAGTAAGATCAACTATAATCCTGGCCCAAAAACGCACGGGAAGAAAAAGGCACCATAGACCGCCGGTAAAACAGGATCAGCCGTGGGCTTAGGGTCCGGTAACGTGTCAGAATAGTGTCAAAACCGTGCAGAGTAGAAATCGATGCAAGCCCAGTGGAGTACCATGATCGACATAAGGGGACCACGATGAGATATTCACAGCGGAACAGTGAACCAAATGCAAAACATGGAGATGACAAGAATGGGGAAAAATAACTGATAGAAGAATGAGTTACTTGCACTGGAGTGGTTATGCAGCACTGCGCGAAAGTCATCGACCCAGCAAAGATGATTAAACTACCAACTGATCGCGCGCAGATGTTCCATTGAATGGGCATGCAGTAGGGTACTGGAACTTTGCAATGAGGGGAAGCCAACATAGTGATCGGGTGGTGACTATGCACAAGTAAGGAGGAATAATCTGATTAGAAGAGGCATCAAACACGAACACAGTATTAGTTAGCTTCCACTGGCTAGTGTAAAAGCGGAAAGAGGAAACGAAAGAGGACGACTGGACAAGTTAAGCTGCATAGAAGAACATTGGTCACAGCTGGTTTGCTCATGGCATGCTAATCTACACAAACCCTTCTACACCGGCTTCCCTCGGAACTCAGGAATGACCACTGATGGTCCAAGAGGGGGCCAAGCTGCATGCCAAAAAGCGCATCTCCAGGTTTCGGATGAAAGAATAGAAGCCTTTGGCGGTTAGCTGCGAGATAAGCAAGTCTCGGTTTGCCAAACAAGCAGCCGCGAACAAGCAGTGACACCACGCTATGACGTAGTTGGTTTTCGCCTGAAAAGCGTTCTCCCCAATAATCGCTGGCGGTGCTGTGTCGTGGTGGCCGTGATTCACCACTAAATAAGGTTAAGTATGTGTTGGGCCACCGGTCATTTACGGGACGAAAAGCGTATGAATCATTTATTTGGTCATCGACTCCAAATGGCTTGCGACATCCTTATATACTACTACGCAACCTTGTAAATCAGATCCTTGAATAAAGGCTCTGCGTAGGTTCCAATAAGGCAGCCCTGTACTTCGGCCAGAGCAAACAGGTAATATCATGCCTAATAAGAATCATGGTTTTTACTCTTGCAAAGTCTATTGAATCTACTGACTACATTGCTCAACCTCTACTAGCAGATCATCCCATGTCAACTCTACAATTACATATAGTCTTATACCCTCCTCCATCACTGCTGCAAACGGCTCACTGGTCGCACCGATGAAAGTAAGAGCCAAACTTATGGTGTTCGATGTATGGGAATCAAAACCATCCTACTCTCAACGGAAGCACTTACTTTTCCTCAAACTGGTTTTTCATTCTGCCACATAGCGTTCAATGTTCGCCCCCTGATGCAGATAGGACGGCAGGCGTGCCTGGCCCAATCCCTTGAGACGCACTCAATAGACTTTTGTTGCATTTCACATACGAGATTGCAAGAATCTAGCATCAACATCAGAATGAGCCCTTCGGCAAACCTTGAAATCGAAAACCATTTGCGTCCTTCCGGAGATCAAGAAGGAGCAGCTTCTGACTAGGCTGGAATTGAGTCTGCACCGAGTGTCAGAAATAAGACCACTCAGCTTGACTGGATCCTAGTCAACACGTTCATGTAATTTAAGCAGGCGTCGAGACGTTAAGCGTGTCTGATTTGTCGTCTCCGTCTACACACTTACAGACTACAGCCCAGAAGCATTGTTTTCGCCAAGAACAACATAACCTTATGCGTCGTTCCACAAAGATTGGTATTGCCATTCTTGCCGGAAATACTAACGTAGGAGTGGGCCGCCTGTCACCAAGGCAACACAATCTTGGGGGAAGTTTTGGACTCGGTAGCAGTTGACCAAGCGGTAGACAGAGCCTATTGGCTATATATCCTTAAGACCACGTTTCTTTGGCGCACCAGTTCACAGCACTCGAAGAGACAAACCGCCACAAACGTAAGCTTGGTCTCCCTTTGACAACATAGCAATAAGTTGCAGATAACACGAAAGCTTAACAGACCGCCGATCGTACAGGTCAACATATCCCGCCTCAGAGCACGCTTGGTTTGTATGCGTTTCGGAGGATAGCGCAGACACAAGCACAACCGAGCGAACATCGCAAATACACGAAGCCATATCATATTAACAAAGTACCAAGCCTAACTGTCAACACTACTTGGTTCAACATCTGACAATGACCTTAATTCATAATGGGCGGACATCAAAAATCCATTAGTTTCTGCTGCCGGCCCGTAGCCTTAAGGATCACAAGCCTGCCTTGTAATCCGAGAGCCCGGGTTCCAGACTGCGCAAAGACCGAACGACCCTCACAGTATCCTAAACCCAAGTGTGTCTGGTGGCGGTTGTGGGGCAGCAAGGCATCCATACTGTGTACCGGCATACTGCTGAAACGTTTTAATTTCTGCCAATATCAAGGGTTGTGGAGTTGCAAGTCACGCGTCGAAAAGCTGCATCACCGTTGTCACATTGTCGCCGCTGGACAAGCCGCGTGGTACCAGCCGAACCCAGACATAGTGAAGAACGACGGCTCTGGAGTTGACAATTGCACAGGAACCTACAAATGGACCGTGGAACCTATTGATGCGAATACGAGAGAGACAGAAGTTGCTAACCTCTCCGGTAACACCAGCAAAGTTTTCCATCTCACCCGAGTCATCAAAAAGATCTGATATGGTGCTAGTTAAACACTCTGAAAAGTGGCTGGATCCTTAATAACTAATCTTCAGCGATGGGCTGAACAGTTCGGCTAGGAGTAGCGCTGTTTCGCTGGCCACTAGCTCCGACTACTTCCCCTGGCGTGCGCACTGGTGCTAAGTGGTCTATTAGTACCGTTTTTCTCTCACCAGAAAATCTGGAAATAACTGCTTGCTGAAGCGTTATAAAAACGCCCAAGTCTAATGGTCTACCTTCTGCTTTGTTAAAAAAAAGGTTTTTCGCTGATCCGAGATCCCACCGCTCTGTTCGCAAAATTCTAACCAAAAGCGAAGGTTGAATCGAAAGGATAGTCGGCACCATCTACATAAAGCAGTATAAGTTTGGTTACAGTCGTTTGCAAGCTACTAGAGTCCATCATATCTCGCAGGCTATCCCAAACGCGTGGATTATTTTTTGCAGCGGAGAGAACAGACTAGGATTTTCATGGGTCACGATAGCATCGATCAAATGCTCATACACCTGCAGATTTACAGGCTCCGTCATGTGTATCAAAAGCTAACGATTGATGTGTTCCGGAATATCCGCACTGTCTGCACTTCTGTTGACAGGACCATATTGTAGTACTGCTTGTTGAGGAATGACATTCCCGAGTAGTTCGTTGCCATATTGCGTGCAGTGCATGGTCTGACCTCCGGCATAGTTAGGGATTATGGCAAGCTTTCACCTTCCAGTGAGGTTCGACGGATTCCTCATCTCCAAATTCCTTTTCAACTTTGCCATAGACGATGTTCTCCTAAATGCAGTGGAAGGTCTAACACTGGAGTTAAGCTTTACTCAGCTATCTAACTTGTTAATTAGACTAGGCCGATGATATCGTCTTGCTGAGTGACAAACTACAGGTCGTCCAACTAACACTTAAGCGCTTGACGAATGAAGTGTCAGTATGGCATGCACATTTCTCCTCCAAGTGCAAAGCTCTTTTTCAAGAATGATAAGCGCCTGTGTCTGCACTCACTCTTGGTGGGAATTTTTGGAACGAGATTTCGGTGCGCATCTCAACAGATCGCCTCCTTTTCTCTAGTTTGAGGTACTATGATATCCGTTCCCCTATCAAAGGATTATGCGCGCTGCTCTGTCGTACGGATGCGAGATCTGGTCGGTTCGCTCCGTCGGCTTGCGCCGACTGTCTGTCTTCGAGCCCCGTCGCTTGCGGGCCATTACCGGTGTGTGGTGGCCACACCGCGCAAGCAATGTGAAAGTCAGACAACTTGTCATGGGAAGAGGCAGCCATTCGCTAGATAAGCTCATCTTACTGCAGCGACTGCGGTGGCTAGGACACGTATTGCACATGTCCGTTCAAAGTTTTTCGTGTAGTGCATTATTTGCGGTGGATAAAGAGAACCGAAAGAAGAGGTGCGGTGGACATCTTGGGACCTGGAGAACTGGCATGAAAAAGTTGGTTACGGTCAGTTGTTCTCGACTAATTTGTTTTGCTGTTTTTAGACATTGGAAACCATGGCTCAAGACCGATGTCAGTGGTGGAAGTGTAAGCCGACGCGTTGAAGTGATCCTTCTTTCACCCCCTAGGAAAACAGAGTATGAAAACTCAAATATTGTGGGCTGGAAAGTAGACAAAAGAGTTGTCCTGTTTGCTACTCCCAATCCCGCTTTCATATTTGGTCATGATTCCAGTGATACATATTGCGTGGGGCGAGATACAAAGGATTGGACGAGTACAGCACGTGGCCACCGGGCTCATCCTTACTTTAAGTGTGCCCTACGAAGATCAGACCAAGAGCCTAGTACTTCACACCATGTCGTCGAGTGCGAGTTGACCTCATCATGATCTACCGGATAGTACATCTTGGTGATCACCCTATATTGAGGCCGTTGCTGCATATGCGCGCACTAAGAAGCATACGAGGACACCGGTAGTAGTACAGGATTTGAATCGAGCCACTTACTAACTCTGCTTCAAAAGAAGAGTAGTGAATATATGGAACAACTTGGCGCGACACGTAGTGGAGGCGAAGTCGGTGTCGAAGTTCAAGAAAACACTGCCGATATGAAATATCGGGAGTGACTGCTAACACAGTTGGTCAGTATACCTGCGGAATTTTATATGCAACTAAACAGAATTTTTTTCTTACAGGTTCCGTACGGTTTGCAGTATTCATTGTTTATGGTGTCTATTTAATCTTCGGTTTGGTGGCCCGTAGTCTAAAGATGGCAAGCAAGAAACAGTGCACTAACCGGATGAGGTCGTTGCAGCAGAACATGAAGGTGGTGTAGCCGGGGCAAGCATGCTTTGGCCAAATTGGAACAAGCCTGGGCCACACGAACTTGTTCAGTCGAATCCGATTGGTCTCCTTCGTGTGGAGTATCACCGCTCACGTTTGTGTGGCTGTCGCGGCCGGGGTGAGGTTGGGACGGATTCCCAATGTGACCAAGGATTTGGTCGAGATCCATTCCGGGGCCACGTTCAGAGGGGGGGAATCCGGTTTCTCTGAGGACAATGGAGCATATATCGTGTTTGCAGAAACGAATGGTGATATCAGCTTGTGATTAGGCCATTATGGACACTAAAAAGAATCAACAATGATCGGCGATAATCTCGATTCCAGGCGAAACCCCAACGGGGTACGCGTAGCGCTGTCACAACACAGACACCCCTGGCATCAAGAGGCAAGAACTTACGGTTTTCGTTTATCCATCACAGTAGTCAATACATCAATGCAGTTGATGGCGATTGATGTGGTCACAGTGGCCTCATTCGCCAAATGGTTTAAAATCGCGTTCAAGCTGTCCTCGCTGTGCGTAGAAGGAGAATAAGAGAAATCAAAAGTCACAAGTTAGTACACGTTCGTAACACATAGTTACTCGATCCTAGCGCAGAGAAGGGGAAGAACATAGCGAGAATTTTGAATGCAGAAGACAAAAATAGCGAATGGAACATCGAGAAATGGCAATATTTCTTGAGGCAGGCGATTCTGAGTCTGAATAACACAGAAAGAAGACAAACATTGGTAGTTGCGCGCATTTCGTATTATCTCGTCAGTACCATTATGATAACAGGAAATAGTCAATGTAAGCAAGGGTGTCAACAGACTAATCAAAATAATAATCAGTGCCACCTGACCAGTTACCTGCACCAGGGTGAACGGCAGTTTTAGCCCTAAGTCCACGGCAGTCAAAGAGTTACAACCATTTATTTTTGCACACAAAGGGCCGGCCTCATTCGGTTTATCGCCACGGGCTAGGCGAATCGCAAGAACCGCGAAAAAGGATGACGCAGTAGAATCCGGAACGCCGAGACAGGGTTAACCCGATGATGGGACTCCCAAATGTGTCTGCCTATGATGACGCCAGTGGCTTACGTGAGCTCAGAGCAATAGAGGCGGGTTGGTTGACCTCCCGTTGAACCCAGTTGGGCAGGTGTCCCTTCACTCTGGAATTCTGTTCTGCCTATGTAACTGAAACCGCGCGTGACTGGCGGCTGTCACGCCGCAGCGAAACGTTGCACCGGCGTACTGCTGAAAACTTTCTTACTCTTGTCTCAGAAGCTGGGCTTAATCAAGCTTTGGGGAAAGTTAGGGACAGAATTGCAAGTTAGGCTGAGAGTCAGGTGACGTTCAGCTGGGAAAACACAAAAACGACGGGGCCAAACGATGTGAAACAAACAGCGCGTAGCGTTTCAGTTAGCTAGTAGAACCGACGGCCCAGATGAGGCTGAACGGAAAGCCCCGAGTAGCGACCACGTAAGGACTCTTGTTTAGAACGCACAAAGTTAATATTCGAGAGAGCTAGATAATGTGCGTACGATATAGTGGATGCCTCCGGTCATGAAGGAGCAATAAGCAAATTACTGGGATAAAGAAGATGGAGGATCGAGAGGCGGCGCTCATGGAACTTAAAACAATGTAGTCAAAAATGAATTAGTCAACGCACGCTGAACGCAATGCCATGTGATAATAAAGGCAAGTCATTAGTCGCATGATTTCCGATGTTCATAAGTGGGTTGGACAGTAAGCGACCGTCAATCGGACTCTGTAAAAGAACCTAACTATGAAGATAACAATAAGTAATAAAATCCAAGTCTTTCAGCCGCCGACTACCGCAAAATGGGATCGTATTTTTCCAGATGAATGTGTTGATCCAATAAATCAGAATGTTAGAGCAAAAATACTAAAAAATTTGACACATTAGGAAAGAAATAACGTTTTCATAACAAATAGAAAGGTAATAATTTTGTAGGGATTGCAGTACATATTGCACGTTGAAGCAAATGCAACCTGCGAATTCCTACTACGAAGAGCCCATGGGAGCATCAGCAACATTCTCTAGTATGTGGTCATTGATGTACTCCCGCCCAGGTTATCATCTGGAGAAATAGAGCCATTAAGGAATCGTGGTTAACAGTGTCACCGCGAGTGGAAATCTGCAGCACAAAGGTTCGCGGTATCATGTTTGGAAAAATGTGTACCTAGAGATTATACACACCAGTTGCAGAACGATTTCAGATTAGATGACGAGGGAAACTATACCAAGAGGTAATTCGAGAACAGAGAAGATACTCGCAGTGAAAAGCAAGGCCATATGACGGAGGTGAGACGCAAGTGAGTAATTTTCGATAGCACCAGTAAAGCACCTAAATTGCGAGCGATCCTAGTATAATACGCAATGAACTTGAGGCAGTCATGTGAGGAAAATAAGCATCCACACATAAACAAGGGATGAGAAACACCCCCATTGGAGACGCTAAACAATTCAATTAGGTCGCAGCAAACAAAAACAAAAAGGCAAAAGAAAAACAAACATCATTATCCTTTGTCTTATCGTATGCACCGACGTGGTCGTGGTTGGAGATGAGACTAAGCGGGAAGCGGCGAGATAAATATTACAACACAAACACCATTGAAGTCGGCCTCAGGTCATGCCGACTAGTGTGCCCAATCAAATGAGTTCGTTGTCCTTCAGACTCCATCCCGGTAGTCGGGAGTCACCAACAGATGCCATGTTTGAAATGAAGGTCTTCATCTCACTTGATCACATTATCGTTGGCCTCCATCCTCTTCTTCCATCCACACTGGTTTCATAAATAACGCATGTCGCGGGAGTCGGTGTGCTGGTATGCGCGACACGTGGCCCAGCCATCGGAGCCTGGTGAGTAATGTAGTCGTGCCGAGCGGTTCTCTGACCCTTCTGCACCCAACACGAGATGCCCAACACGGACGTTGCTCACCCGGTGTTCCCATTAGACATGAGATATACTGCGAACACACTGGTGGTCAAACGCAACTAGTTTCCTTAGTTTTATTGGTTTGATTAACTAAGTTTCGCAACCTTACAGGATGGCTGTACTGTAGGCGCTGTCCTTCAAAACGCGAGTGTTGTCGCGTCGGTGCTACAGTTGGCGAAAGCAACTCCAAGCTCCACTATACGGTTCACAAGCTGAGCTTCGATTCCAAAGGCGCTGGTACAGCTGCCCAAGTAGTTCTGAATGACTTGCAGCTGATCTCCATAAAGGATCAGGGCACGTGGCGGTCACTACCAATCCTGGATAGGGACTTCGCATGTACAGAGTGCTAAGCAAAGCCTAAAACGGCCGACAACCAGTGTTAAACTGTCTAGCACGTTTGTGACCTGCCACATATTACAGCAATGTCGTTGGTATACTCTACATCAAGACGGTGATCACTTAGAAGCATGACCACACTTTCCCAACCGTGGTCAATGAAACAGTTTTCATGACCTCGTCGATGGGGAAGTCAGAAAGAAAAGGTGACAGCAGGTAACCTCTCATAAGCCCTTACTCTGACCGAACTATGCGCATAAAGAGCACACCTTTCCTGAGCGGACAGTTCTAAAGGATACATCGATCCAGCAAATCAAAGGCACCTTTGACGTCGAGAAATATAACTACGGTGGGTCGCTAATAAATATGACGATGACCCAACAACTGACGTAATGTAACAATGTGGTAATGATCACCCTGACTTCGATGAAACCAGGTTTGCTCCTCACGAATCTGGCTTTCGCGAGTGTTACTTAGTCTATGAAAGACGACAGGGGCAAGTAAGTTAGAGGCATCTGTTATGTTGTCGAGTACGAATACGGTGGGTCGCAAATATAAGTGGTGTTGTGCCGACAAGTCAGGTCAAACTAACCCATATGGGCGCATTTTCAACACTTCACACTAACACTGGAATATTACACAACAAAGTATCACGTAGGAAGATTGACAGCAACCAAACGAAAGAGGTTTGTCTTCAAACACGGTCCCACAAGCGACTTTTTTGATGATGATGATGATGATGATGATGATGATGATGATGATGATGATGATGATGATGGACCGACCAGCAAGCGTGACAGCTAAGGAAGCAGAAAGTTGCAGTACGACGAGAAAGGAGAATATAAAATCTAAAATTTAGACCTTATAAGGTGCAAATATAGTACTAGATAGGACAGTATGTAAAAGTGAGTGGGGTCGTTTGGGATCTTGGATGAGAAGCTGATGCATGCACCGAAATGTTTGCTAACGATAAAATATGCGAGCGATGCTTTCCTTAAGCCAGAGTAACCAGGAACAAATATTTCTGAACGAACAAGATCACAATTCTTTTGGATAAGTCCGGGAAAAAAATGGGAACAGCATAGCCAGTGGGGGAGAATATATGCGGTTAATAACTTTAAAATTAGAGCAGGGGAACGTAAGAAAGACGTTTTGAACCTGAAGAGGCAAAACAGAGCCTTGTGACCTATTTTAAGTTTCAAGAATATGTGGAGACCAAGTAAATGTTGAGATTAGAACATTCTGAGATAGTTTACGGCAAAGGAACTAGGCGTCTCGATCATCCACAACCAAGAGAGAGAAGTTATGTACAAAGGAACGTTACGTCACAACAAATAGAAGGGTTAGGAGACAGGAACCGGGAGCTCGACCGTCATTAGTTCAGCTAACCCTAGTTGGAGTTGCAAAGAGTCCTCGATGAATTTAGCTAAGCAACCCAGGAAGACGTCATCAGCATATTTAAGATCAAAGAAGTTCCATGGGATGGGGAAGCTTTCGACGCAGACGGAGAATCGAAAGGGGGAGAGGATGGTTTTCTGTAAAACACCACAGTTGGCTGGGGGCGCAGAGGGTTTTCTGCCGCATAGTTACCTAAAGTATGTGTGATCTGTGAAATAATCAAGCATCACACGACATATATATGGGAAGACGCAATTTTCGGACAAGTAATGATCTGTCGAGGCTCCCAAAGGTGTTGGTATAATCGTGCATCTTTTATCCAACGCAATGGAATCCACCAGATACAAACGCCATTCAATGTTGGGAGCCCTGGTTTATAGGCAAACTGTTCAACATCGTCAGTATGATTGCCCGTGAAAATGCGGGAGATCAGTAGTTTTTCCAGTACCCTTAACAGCACGGAAGTGTATGCAATTGGGCAACACTTCCGACATCCGATTTTAGACAGTGGTGTTATTCCGGCTGATTTTCAGATATCAGTGAACGAGCCAGTCGTTAAGCACCGATTCCATATCCCTGTCAGAAGTGTCCTAAAGACACCTGCACACTCCATCAGAGCAATTGCTGACAGAACATCCAAGCCACTAGCCATGTTTAATTTGTTATGTGAGCACCTTCTAAACGGTTGTGGGACCAAATAAAGTGGAAGACTCTGAGGTAGTGAAAGAAGACAGGGGGAGGAGTGTTTTAGATGATGAGCAGCTGAACGCAGTGTTAAGTTCGTCTACACCCGCGATACTGTATGTTCTGTAAGATTGTGGTCTAGGAAGGGAACATG